GGCAGATCTAGTGCACGGCCAACGGGAGGATTCTTCATGACCCGTGTTAATTAGGTAATCAGGCTATTCTGCCCAGGGTGTTTGAAATGACTAACCTTTCTTGGGATAATATGATGGAGCAATAACGGCTAAACGGTAAACAGAATTTTAAATTGGGCTTTTAGAAAAACGTACTACACCTGATCTTAGCCAAAAGGCCAAGAAGCAATGGAATTTTTAAAAATGTAATCGAGAATCGAAACAGATTTAAAATGAAACTTGCATAACGCTTACTGTGTGCAAGCAGACTTTTCCTCAGATAGTCCCATAAAGTCATCAGATGTTGAGCACTCCCTGAAGGCATCACATTGTGAAGATTACTGTTTTTTGAGAGGGATTTAATAGATTCGGATTCCGAGGACTCAAGAGATTATGTGCTAGCCTGAACTCTCATCCATCTCTTCGCCTCATCGAATTAATTTCCATTTGAACATGAGTTGAATCCCATATGGCTTCTCGTATCTGGGGCTTTCTCTGCAGAAGCAGCCTCTGCTTTATACCCACAGATGCATAAGTGGAGCTTTGACCTTCCTGGTAAAGGAAGATAGATTTTGGTTTTATCATCACATCTTGCACTTCTCTCCCATACACTTGCTCATTTTTCTATTTATTAATTCCTTCTCAATGACTATGTCTGGAATAATTACTGAGCTCCTCTGTCTAACAGGCATTGTCCTGGATCACGGGCCATGGAAATGAAAGGCACAGTTCTTGCTCTGAAGGGATTCATAACAAGGAGTGAAGAAGGAATCAAATAATCGCGATGTTATCACAGAAGTAAGCTTGAGGAGCATCCCTGCTGTGGTTGTGGTTTCTGGAGCTTGTTTCAGGGATCTCCACTAATTAAATGATGAAACCTAAGCTAAACTCACACAGATTCACTAGAATTGAAATCACGTTTTCTTCCAGAAAGGGTCATGAGGAGTACAATGGCACAGGGCTATAGAATACATGGTTTCTAGTTCATGTTGTGCTGTTTATAAGCGATGGAACTTCAAAGCACAGAACCATCTGAGTCTCAGGTCCTATCGATCTTTTCCAAATGAGAAGGGGACCAAGAGATGAAGATGGGGGCATAAAGAGGATGAAGACGTGTTATGTTCATGTACCAGCTCCCCACGATGAATGTAGTCATTATGTGCTGCAAACACATACTAATAAAAAATTTTAAAAGGACCAATGTAAACAATGTAAATAAAAGCACTTGTAAAGTGAAACGCCCCATATATTAAAGAGATTGTTATCTGGAAAAACCCAGCAGTTTGCTACACATGCACACAAACTCACTTCTCTCCTGAAGCAAAAAGTTGTGCCTGCTTTTCCTTTTTTTTTGGTACCGGGGATTGAACTAGGGTCCTTGCGCTTGCGAGGCAGGTCACCGAACCACTGAGCTATGTCCTGGGCCCCAGTGCCTGCTTTTCTTCTTCCCTGAATGTACTTACTTTTTTTTTTTCTCTGAGAGGATTTTTCTTAATCTTGCACATCAATCACATTGTAATATGCAGAAACAGTTGTCCCTTTGACCTAAGTATCCAATCCCAAGACAGTCAGCATGTATTTAGGACTCTCATTTTGTATCTGTAGATCAACCTGAAAACAACCTTGCAGGGAAGGGTTCTTCTGAGGTACGAGCACTGTGTGACAAGACTACACGTGGCTTTCTCCGTTCTGCACACAGGAGACGGTGACTCCTCGTACCTGCCACCCACCATATGCCCACACTTGATGTATTATTTAATGACTCAATGCTAAAATTTCAACATGACTTTTGCTGTCTTAGAAGTATAACATCTTGGAACTCTAGGTTAAAAGCTTCATACCACAGCAGTATATGCACACCCGTGTTTATAGCAGCACAGTTGCTAATAGCTAAATCTTGGAAACAGCCCAAATGCTCATCAACTAGTGCCTGGGCAAAGAAGATTTTTTTTTCCTTCACTTTTTTTGCAGAAGAGGAGATCGAACTCAGGACCTTGTGCTTGCCAGGCAGGCACTGGTACCACTGAGCTAAATCTCTGGCCCTGTTTTTCTTTAAAAAAATGCCTGAAGCTTTAAGCTTTATTTTGATCTCAGCACCACTACAAAAAAAAAAAAAAAAAAAAAAAAAAAA